TGGAATGGGCAGGTCTCAAGGGGCCAGAAGGAGAATGCCATCTTTCCCACCCCGGGGTGCAGAGGAGAATGAAGCTGCTCCATATGTATAACAGCAGACTCAGAGCTTCCTGCAGGTAGGGTTCCAGTAGCTCACTCTCTCCTCTGGCATTATCCCCACACCCTACCCCACCCCTGAATTTGGTTGAGCAGAGTGTCCTCACAGAACACAGTTCCTTGCAACCTGTCCCCCTTTGCAGCAGAATCCCACTGTATTTCACCAGCTCTTTCTTAGGCATCAGGGTTTGGCTCAAAGCAAATAACACCTTTTTTCTTAATTCGTCAGCAAACAGGACTTACACAGTAATTATTTTTACACCCAATCTGCAGAACAGCTCTGTAATCTCCAGTCAGTAGAAACATGTAATTACTAATTATGCAGGAACATTGTGTTTATTAAGTGAAATTACTATATAAAGAAATAACCAAAGAGAAGAGCATTTGGTTTTATGGAGCACCTTTCATGCTCAAGGGATCTCAAAGTACAAACAAATTAAGCACAGGATGGATCAATTAAAAGTGCGTTTAACATCCCATTTCTAAGAATGTATCTGGGGGTAGTATGTGTGTTAGTTAGTGAGTGGTGATCAGTTACTTAACATAGAGCAGCAGCTGGATCTGAAAAGGTTTCCTTTTCTGTTTGGCTAAGTAACCATACTTATCCAAATTAACTGACTTAGTTCAATTAAAGTAGACTGGCACTATCCAGAGAACAGGAAAAGATAACAAGAGAATTCGAATGGAAAATGGAGTCTCACGTCGAAGGCCCTGACATTGTCAACATTTAAGCATGTGTGTAATTCTACACACCTGAACAGTCCCACTGAAAAAGGACCATGCTCCACCTGGAGTGTAAATCTGCTGAGACATAATACACAGAGGAGGATTAAATGTAACAAGTAGCCACCATTCACAGGTCTCGGTTTCATGTTGTCAAACAGCATGCATATGACTGAGCACAGAACAATGCATCCTCCTTTTTATAGCCGAAAAAAGTTTGTGACATTAGTCAGGATGCTGTGCACATGGCATCCTGGTAAGCATGATTATCATAAGGGAAGTTCACCTCACTTTGTCTCCACACCTGATCCTGTTTCCCTCTTTGCCCCTACCCGGTCCCCCTCACTCCTCTTCCCTTTTCCTTCCATTTAGTTGATCCCCTACTAATTAAATCCAACTGTGCAGGTATTCGCTCATGGTTAGAGTACCTCTTTCTGGCTGGGCATGGTGTAGCACCTTTCTCCTTACCAGTTGCTCCAGCATAGTGGCAGTCACTCACCCTGGCAATTCAGCCCTCTGGCCAAGACATGATTTAATCCACCCCTTCTGGGGTAATGGAATGCAACAAATTAAAAAACAAGATATCCTCACCAAGAGGTCTTCAGCCCCAAGTCTGAGCCCTGTGGTCCTCACACCCCTTCTCTCAAAGCTCTCGGCTGGTCCGTTTCCCATTCCCCAAGGCTTCACGCGACCTTCTCCAGGGGCTGGTAGGGGAACCCAGTCCCTTCCCACTACACTAGGTTCCAGCCCAAGGACCTCATAATCAGCAGCTATGGTCTTCTTTGTCCCACTCCTTGTTGCAGTTTCTCTGGGCTTCTACCTACCCAGTCTGTCTCAGACCTTCTCCTCTGCAACCTTTCTAGCTTCACTCTTGTTTCAGGGCCAGAACTCACAGAGCTTGCCTCTGGAATCCCCTAACAAAATCCAAGCATAAAATTATAAACAAAACCCCAATTTCACCCTCCGTGGGCTTGACCTTACTTCCCTCCCTCCCAGGGCTCTTTCCCCGTAAGTCCAATTCCTGCACTTTTGCTTGGACTTCCCACCAGAACCTGCTCTGCAGGCCATTCTATACCACTGGTGGCCACTTACAAGCCTCCACTACTCAAGTAAGGATACAGGGCTTGATCTCTTTGATTTCCTTCTCATTAACCCTTGAAGTGACTGCAGTCAGAGAGAGAGAGAGAGAGGGAAAGTGTGTGCGTATTTCTGTCTGTCTGCAGTCCCCTTTTGCTCTAAACTTCCTGCCATTCAGCCCTTCCCTAGCTGGGCTTCATCTCTAAACCTGGTTTTCTCCTCTCCCTGTGCCACCAGGTAGCACAACCGGCCTTTCAGGGTCATATTAACTCTTTCTGCACCTGTGAGGTATTCACCTCATCATACCACTCAAAAAAATAAATAATGGAACTACCATTACATTTGATGCCATCACATTGTTCACTCTGCTTGTGTGTTTATACCCCTTCCCCCAAACTGGGTCTGTCTGGTCTATGTTGACTGTAAGCTCTCAAGGGCAGAGTCTGTCAGCTACTCTATGTTTGTACAGGGCCTAGCACACTGGGGCCCCATACTTGCTTGACCCTTAGGCACTACTATAACTAACGTAATTAATAATAGTATTTTCCATCCCTTTTCTTTTCAGGAGATTACATGCCAGAGTAAAGTAAATGTAGGCCCATTAGGAAGGGTTTGGCCTTCCCCTGCTTTTAGAACCGGAACAGCAAGAGAAGGTTTGGCTCCTGCTAACATTTGGTCTGCACCAATTCACCATCTGTAGTAAAACTTTCAAATGAACTAGTCGGTCCACAACAATTATTGGCTAGTGAAGCTGCTACTGTATGTAGCAGGCAGAGCATTGCAGCATGCTGCTAACTAGTTGTTATCTGACAAAGAGCTCTTCCTTGTAGTTTTAGCTGATTTGCTATTCCCTGGAAGAGACAAGGGATCTGGTTCTCAATTATGCTAAAGCTGCTTTGGGCCACTTTGGCAACATAAGGCCCTTAACATGGACAAAAAGAGCTTCCTGAGAATATCACTTCTGCAGGGAAATCTCCCTGGCTGGTGTGAAATTGGTTTAAGGGTTTCAAACAAGCACTGCTCCCAGCCTCCAGGGTGATTGGGGGGAGAGGGGGAAGGGTGTGTGTGTGTGTGACATACGCTATACTAAGGCTATTCTCTGCTTCTCAGGGCCCAAAGAGGGCTGTGATAAACAGACTATAAATTAACTTACACCAGCATGGGCCCCTGCCTGGCCTCAGAATACAGGAAGCATAAAGTTTGCTAAAAGTTTCCATTGCATTTACCTCCTCAGCTGCCTGTCCCAGGCGCTAGAGTTTTGAACGCAGAGCCTGGATCTTTTAGAGTATTTTCTATTGAACAAAAAGAACCATCTGTAAAAGCAGGTAATTTAAAAAAAATTTCTCCACAGAAGTTGGGTAGAAATTTGTAATTTTTGTAATTTTTTTTTTCAGACCTGGGGATAGGGCTGTTAATAGCATACAAATCCTTTCCTCTGTAGGGCACTGGTTTGAATTCCTCTTAGTCAGTAGAGGAGGTCATCTGCCTCTATTGCGAACATTTGATCTGCATCAATTCACTGTCATTTTATAAGCACAAAAAGCCTCTAATCAACTGGTAGTGCAGCACCCAGCTGAAAAATGCTCTATATACTGTAGTGAAACTGATACCTGTTGAGAATCAAAATATGCAGCTGTGCTTCCTTCTAGATGCAGGTAGCAGACAGCCCCTCCTCATGAGTTAGTCAATTTGATTTTGACCTTTAGAAGACTGGGATTTTGAATACAAAAAGAGAATTTATTGGCAGTTACTTTATTGTTCAGCTGCAGCTCTTGGAAGATGTAACCTTCTGCACAGGACCAGTTGAAGCTATCACAGGTTTGCATCCAATGGTCAATTTCTTTTCTTAGTTTTTGTATATTTAATATATTCTTGACAGGGGAAATGCTGAATGACACACAAATGACACCATGCTGAATGACACACAAATTTACTATCAAATAGGGGTGAGCACAAGAAGTAAGATGCTCAGACTGCTTGCTGTGCAAATATTGTGACATCATTGTTAGGGGGAAAAACTCCGCAGCACAAGAGCTCATCTCGCAGGCAGACATCAATCACTATGATACACATAAACACCACAGTCATCAGTGAGGACAGAACCCAGCACCTCATACTGTGCAGTTACTGTAGAATAATGACTGTTGTGAATGGTGGTAGCGGTCATTGTTCCCTCTAAGCTGTGCATGTGTGTGTGCGCACACAGATCCTAAACCCAGCACACATGGCGAAACACCACGCGCACAAAAATTTGCACAAAAGCACAATTTGCACAGAGGAAATTTTTTGCGCACACGGCTTGTCAAAAATTAGAGGGAACACTGGTAGTGGTGACAGAAAATGGTGACCTTTATAAATGGCACTTAGCAGATGCAGTTCCCTATTTGTGCATCTAGTTTGATTAATTCCTTGGGAATGCACAAATACATAGGGAACTATTTTCCCCCGTGCTTACCAACTGTGTTAACCTGACAGGCCCAACTGGGTTAGGCCTTTTCCTCTGGGAACCTGTGACAGTGGCTGACTAAAATGTAACAGCTTCTTCTAAACAAGGCATTATTAATTCACCCACAGGTACGTAACATGTAGAGTAACAGGATAAAACAAAAAAAATATTGCCTTGAAAGCTTTAGTAAGTTCTCTTCCACCCAGCTACCTCCATCTCTGGGTTGGGAGAAGCAGACTGTCCTTCTGCAGCATGTTGTCTCTCTCTCTCTCTCTCTCTCTCTCTCAATCTGTGTCCTTGCATCCCTGTCTGTGCTCATGGACTCTCCCAGCCTTTTCTTCGCTAGGCCAGCATCTTTAAGGTTTTAGTATCCCCTAGGCTCAGGTCTGGGGAAAGTAAACTTGAAAGCCGAGATGAAGCCAGGCAGGGGGCATTCCCCAATAAATAGCTTCTTCATTGTTTCCCCAAGAACCCAGGGTATTCTCAGGGCTGTGCTTAACTTTGCCTGTTGTTTCCTTTTGATTCTTCTTAACAGCTTCCTTTGATTTAACTCTATGCAGCCACACAGGATAATATCACGCAGGTAAATTGAGGTGCATATGCTATTTATAAAGAATAATACAGGTATTTCCCTTATTTGCAGAGGTCTCCACCATCTCCATGACAGCAATGATTTGTTCGGGAACTGTTCCTGTTTGTAATCCAGTTGTGGAACAGAAGACATTGTGCATGACTTACAGGTACCGCTACCGGAAGGAATTTGTCAAATTTATAAGTAACAACAGTGAAGGCCTGGCATGATTTACTTCATTTTTAATAATGATGCAAGAGTTCTTATGTGTCTTTGGGATGTAGCTAAACCATAAGAAAGACATACATGTTTTTAAATGACTACTATAACAATCAATTTTCATGGGTTCTTCAAGGTTGAGAACAAATTAACCAATCAACCTCCACTTCAATCAACTCTTCTGTGATTAAGGTGAGTAATTTACATGGCTGTATGAACACCACATACCAACTTACTGTGTTTTTGCTGACTCAGAAGATTTCTGTGTTTGCATAATAGATCTAATAAAGACTGAAAACTACAGCTGTGGAAAGCTTCCTGATATGACATATTTTGTGAAGGATGCTGTGATGACAACCATTCCACCCTCCTCATCTACACAACTCAAGTCTTCCCCTCCTCCCCTAGACATTCCCAATTACTGATTAATATATCCTAGAGTGCAGCTATTTAAAATAATAACAATAATAATAAAGTATTGGCAGCTCTATCATATTTAACTGTAAAAATATGATTAATCAAGCTGTTCTATTCTTTGTTGTTGAATTTCTTCAACAGAGAAAGCTGTTCTGAATATCTTAAATGCCCCCATGAGAAAAGCACTTCTAAAAGCAATGAGCTCCTCAAAAACCAGTCCATCCCCAGTGACATAAATAGGTGAAACAGAAGAGCTGGAGATACAATAACAACTAAGTGATATTAAGTATATGTGCATCATCTTCTCTTAGTTACTGAAACCCACATGTAACCGCAATTGTAAAATGATACAAAATGTGAGAATCTCCATTGTAACTGGATCTTCCGAGCCAAATCAAGAGACACAATGGCTTGGATTCCCAGGAACAAAGACAGGTGCTAAATCTGGGGTGCTCAATAATAGATGAAATCCTATTAATACCTACAAGTACATTGGTCATCAGTAGAAGATGAAGATGCTCAGTACTCCAGGGGGGCTTTCCAGTAATAATAATAGCTACCATCTTCTTTTCCAGTAAAAATAGCCATGTTGCAGTATTCAATCAAACCAAACCAAAAAATGATGAAGTCAAAATTCTTCACCTTTGTCTCTAACATTTTAAAATACGTATTTACATAACTAAAATATTTACATGTATATTACTCATATAGTGGGACATTTTCGAAGGTGAAAGATATTGTTGGTGATGCTTACAAAATTATAAATATTTGTAAAGCTGACTCTTTGTGAGATAGCAGGAGGAAATTTGATAACTGATCCCACATCCGCTGCAGTCCATGATTAAGCTCCCATTGATTTCAACAGAGTAGGAAAGCCTCTTGTACACATTGGAGCATATTCTGCTTTTAGTTACAGCTGTATACATCCAAAGTAAATCAACTGAAGCCAATGGAATTACTGAGGATGTGCAGGGGTATAACTTAAGACATAAGAGAAGGGTCTAGTGAGTAGAGAACTGGACTAGGACTCTCATGATCTGGATTCTTGTCCCAGCTGTTGGGCAAATCACTTCCTGCTCTCTGGCTCAGTTTCCCCATCTGTATAATGGGCATAATGATATTAATTGCCTTTGTCAGGTGCTTTGAGATCTATTGATGGAAAGCGCTTTATAAAAGCTAGGCAGTATAAATAGAGATGGTTGGGAATTTTTCAACAAAGCTCTTTTTTGGTCAGACATCACCAATTAATTGAAACTGAAAACCTTCAGTGGAAAGGGTTGGTTTTTGGCAAATTTCTCGTTTAAATTTTTTAAAAAAATGTTTCCAAATTGTACAACCAAAAATTGGTTCTTTTAATTCTAAATGACATTTCATTTTGAAATTTAAGCTAAGTATAGTAAACAATTTAAATTAAAAAGGTGGACATTTAAATGAAACATTTAGAAAATGTTTAAACAAAACATTCTGTTTGATGCAAACTGAAATATATTTGGAATTGTTAGTTTATGAAGATCTTTGAGATTTTGACTTTTTTTCCTGATTCTTATTTGATCTTAAACTCTTTTGAAGGGATTATCTTTTTTTTTTGTCCTCCCCCCACCCCTGCCTGTGTTTTTACAGTGCCTATCAGGATGGATCTTGGTCCATAACTATGAACAGGGATGGGGCTTGGGTGGTCAGGCCTAATGGTTATAGTCAAGAGCTTGGGATCAGAGCCAGGGTCAGAGCTGGGTTCAGAGGCAGGTGCCATGCCAAAGGTCAGAGCTAGAGCCAGCATCAGGGGTAGGGTGTAGGAACAGGGAAAGGCAGGAAAGCAGGAACTGGCAACAGATGAGCATCTGGAATAAGGAGGACAGGAACCAGTAATAGACTGGAATGCTAGAAAAGCCAGGAAGGAAGGGCTCAGGAGTCAGGCAAGTCGGCAGGACCCAGAGTCGCAGCCAGCCAAGGATTCTTCTAGTTGCAGACAACTTCCTGTGCCTCTTTCTGGCTTAAATAGAGTTTCCTAGCCAATCAGTGGGGCTGGATGTCTCCCCAGATCAGGAGCTTTGTATCTGGAGCCCTTAGTGAGCTGAAGTTTTACTGGCCCCCTTCTCCAGTCATTCAGGCAGCTATGGTCTGAGCACTACCTGGGGACCTACTGGCCTGGTTTTGAGGCTCACCATCCCTCACATCATCCCTTCCCCTAGTGCAGTAGCTATCAACCTTTCCAGACCACTGTACCCCTTTCAGGAGTCTGATTTGTCTTGCATACCCCAAATTTCACCTCACTTAAAAACTACTTGCTTACATAATCAGACATAAAAATACAAGTGTCACAGCACACTATTACTGACAAAAGGCTTTCTTTCTCATTTTATCATGTAATTATAAAATAAATCAATTGGAACATAAATATTGTACTTACATTTCAGTGTACAGTAAATGGAAAGTCATTGTCTGTATGAAATTTTAGTTTGTACTGACTTCACTAGTGCTTTTTATGTAGCCTGTTGTAAAATGAAGAAAATATCTAGATGAGTTGATGTACCCCCTGGAAGACCTCTGCGTATCTCCAGGGGTACTCATACCTCTGGTTGAGAATCACTGCCCTAGGGTACCCTCTGGGCAGCAGCAGGCCAGGTTTTCCAGGGTGGATCCACAAGATACCGAAGTCTAATCTGTCTGATTCTGGCATCAAGGATCTCATGGATGATATACTCATCATGGTTTTGAACACATGCTGGTTGAGAATTAGTTGAGAACAGTGAGGGAATGGGTCCTCAGTGTGGGGCTTCAGGAGTGATATATGGAAAACTGGTTGTATTCTGAGAGAATGGGGCAAGTTGAGTTCAAATGTTACTGGGTTAATATTCTGGCAAATTCTGTAGGGACCAAGGAACTGGTAGTACAATTTACTAGATGGCCTGTTTTTGTGTAGGTTTTTAGGCAAGAGCCATACCTTCTGGCCTACTGAAAGAGTAGGCCCTTCCTGTCATTGACCATCCACATATCGTTTTGTAGCTCTTCTTGGCATCCTCCAGGTGAACTCTGAAGTCATCTTGGGTTTGATATATGTATTGTATTCAGTCCGGGGCTGCTGGGTTGTGGGAAGTGGCAGGTAGCTCTGGGCAGAACCAAGAGTGGAAGCCATAGTTTGGAAAAAAAGAAAAGAAAAAGAAAAGGGGGGCTTTGCGCCATAGACACCTGATCTGCCTTATTGTACATAACTCTGCCTGAGGTAGCAGCCAAGACCAGTTGTTCTGGTGGAAGTTTACGTAGCGTCGAAGATACTGCTCCAGGATATGGTTGGTTCTCTCTGCTTGCCTGTTTGTCTGAGAGTGGTAGGTGGAGGAGAGGCAAGAGCATATGCCCCAAATCCAGAGAGCGTCTCTCCAGAAGTGGGAGATAAACTGTGCACTGTGCTCAGAGATGATGTACTCTGGGAGGCCATGGAGATGGACACCCAGAGCTGGGCAGTTTCCTGAGAGGACAGTAGGCCAGTGCAGGGGATGGAATGGCCATCTTTATGACGTGGTTCACCACTGTCAGAATGGTTGTGAACCCTTTGTACTTGGGTAGTTTTACTACAAAAATCTAAGATGGTGACTGTCCGGGGCCAGCTGAAGTCTCGATGGGGTGCAGTAATCCCAGGGGTTTAATTGAGCGATGTCTTGGAGCGGCTGCTTACACTGCAAGAAGCCACATAGGCCTGCACTGTGGCCCACATGTGTGGTCACCAGAAGACATGAGAGACGAGGCACTGAGTTTTTAAATAGCCCAAATGTCCTGCTGGAGGGAGGCGGGGGGAAGGGGAGTCAAGACATGTTTGTAGGGCTGTAGTCCTTGAAGGCCTGGGAGGAACAAACATATGCCTTTTTATGTAGGTTACCCCGTCTTGGACATCCTGGGGTTCCTTACTTATGGGTTCCTGCTTGACTGGAGGTATTCCATGGGCCAAGGCTTATTGCATGAAGGTGAGCAGATCTTGTGGGGCACAAATCTGACATCAGGAATCATAACATTCAAAAACCAGTAGGAGAACACTTCAATCTCTCTGGTCACTCAATAACAGACCTCAAAGTGGCAATTCTTCAACAAAAAAACTTCAAAAGCAGATTCCAACATGAAGCTGCAGAACTGGAACTAATTTGCAAACTAGATACCATCAGGTTAGGCCTGAATAAAGACTGGGAGTGGTTGGGTCATTACAAAACCTAAACTTAATTTCACCAATACTAATTTCTCCCTACTGTTACTCACACGTTCTTGTCAACTGTCTGTAATGGGTCGCTTTCTTCCCACTTCAGGAGTTATTTCTTCTCCCTTGGTATCCTGCTGTTAATTGATTTATCTTGTTAGACTGACCTAACACTTGGTAAAGCAACCCACATCCTTTCATGTATTTATACCTGCTCCTGTATCTTTTACTTCATACATCTGATGAAGTGAGTTCTAGCCCACAAAAGCTTATGCCCAAATAAATGTGTTAGTCTCTAACGTGCCACAAGGACTCCTCGGTTTTTTTGCTGATAGAAGTTTGTGAACCTCAGGAAACATAGTTCACAAATGTTTTGCAGTGCCACCCACACAAGGACAGCCTTTACCTTGCATGGATCCATTTTCATACCAGCCGGAGATAGCCCTATGGAGGGCTGATCAAAAGCACATTTTTCTAGCTTCCCATAGAGGCCATGTAGGCTTAGCCTCTTCAAGACAGAACATATGTGCGTGGTGTGTTCAGCATTGTCAGAAACAATAGCAATGTCATCGAGGTATTGGTTTGGAATGTCCCAAAGTATGTCATTAATAGGGTTCCTAGGTGCTATGATAACATAAATGATAATAAAGGAATACAATTTCAAAATCTTAACATTTTTCCAATGATGGGAAAACTATATTACACCCAGCTCTAATTATAAGAAACTTTACTCACCTGACTAGTCCCACTAAAATCAATGGGAGCTGCTGGGTGCGCTGCACTTTTGAAAATCAAGCCAGTTACTTACAATCCTAACTGCAAATTTAGAAGCCTAACCTTAGGCTCCTAGCTTTGGAAATTTTGGACATAGTGTCTTTATTAGAGATTTTGCCATTTCAAAACGAGTATGCAGCAAAAACTTTAATACAATATAAATGTAGTAAGACTTGCCCAACAGAATAATGCACACCTGCCTGGACCAGTATTTTAGCACTTCCCCAGCAATGATGTAGGTTTTAAATTTTTCTTGCTTGTATGCCTATGTGTCCTTTAATATAACAAGTCCAGTTGTGTCCACTCAGAGTGGCAATACTCAGTTTTGTCATTGGTTTTATGAATAAGTTGCTTGTATAGGGCCATATCCATATAATGATGCTTTTCTCAGCAGCTCTGATTATTATCACAGATAAAACTGCTAGGCCCTTATTCAACAGAAAACTTAAGCACATTCTTAAATCCAACCTTTTCCAGCAAAGTACTTAATCACATGCTTAACTGCTATTGATGTCACATGTATGCTTAAGTGTTTTGCTGAAATGGGTCAGCAAGTTTCAGTAAAATGGACATACTAGATAGTCAAGGTGCCTGTTTCTCAGTGCTCTTTAATAAGCAGCCTGCAAATGAAAATAAAATCAATATATTTTGCAAAATAATGTTACATTTTACAGACAGATCCATCAAAGCAACTATTTGAATAACAGTCTTGTCTTCCTGCAGAGCTACAGGTCGAAAGGTTAATCTGGTTTACACGTAAATACATATGGATACAAGCGCAGATGATATCACAATATGTGGCATGCATTACCACTATGAAACCCATGCTGCTAGGAAACAACGCAAGCATGCACGCATGCCCAGACAGATCTTTAAATGTGGGGTTCTTAAAATCCACTTGGGACGAATATTACAGCATGAAAAATCAAAACACTGCACGAGCCTTTGCAAAACTGTCAATTGGAAAAAAAAACAAACAAAAACCCATGTCCTTTTTAGAAAGAAAACGAAAGGAGGACCTTCCTCAAAATCACTTTCTCTATTTTTTGTAAATGTATTTGTTTAGATTTTCCAGAATTATTGCTGACAGATTTAATTCGACTGACATGCTTGTAACTGTACATGATTTTCATAAACATTGCATACTGCTGATCTAATAACTGTTTCCAACCTATGTGTGCAGCTCTAATAAAAAGAACTGTTTAGTAATTAACCATTACCCACCCATATATGCAAACACAGGTTACATACTGGCCGCAAATTAGCAGGACAAATTGTTTATGCTATAATAGAGAGATCTGGGATATTGTGAATATCAGATTACCTTAACACACTGCCTAGTACACTTTAGGAAATTAAATCAATCATCATCCAACAGAAAAATATTATTGTAGTTTCTTTGTATGATATGCTGCCTTCATTTACCATATGTTTTCCTATTTCTTTGTTACATGGGACTTAACTTAAAATCAGTTTGAGAAAAAAACCATAAAAGTAGCAGAGAGATCTTATCTTGCTGTGTTGTCAGGGTCTTGAAAAAGATGATACTTGAAGGTTGTTTCTGTTTGATTTTAATGGAAAAGATCAAATCCCAGTTAGTGGTCGAACGGATACAACAATGGGAGATATGGGTGGGGGAGAGCGAAAAGGTAACTGATGCACAAGGATAACTTCTCCAGCTATATGCTTTTCATTTAACCCTTCAGACACTGGCCACCTCTCAAGTGCACAGCACCCGGGAACTGTCTGTTTAAGGATCAGCAAGGTGGTCTGGTGGGAGTGGCTGTTGTGAGATCCAGGAATTTTCAGCAGCAGGAAACTGGGGGAGGTTGGGACTCTTCCCTGAAGCCTTGCTTTACCATTGCCAGAAATACTCTCTAGTCTTCACCCTAGGTTGCTCATGAATCCTCTCTCTCTCTGCAGCTGATTCTCAACTGGATTGTTCTATCAGGAACCAGAATGCCGGAAATGGGAAGACCAGACTACAGCCAGCAAGGGCTGTTGGAGAACACTAGCCGTGGGAGAGCAAGGAAATCATTTTAAGGGGGATGGGCTGAGGCATTTTCAGGAGGGCTATGAGAACAGCAGGACCAAATCTTTCATCGGGAGATGGTAATGGTATTACCTGGAAAATGACTGGGGCAACCTTGGGGATTGAACCGGAAGAAAGGAAGTGCTACAAATCTGTGGGACAGATTACTCATCTGCAGAGTAATTGCTCTCAGGGTTAATCATTTAATACCCAATTTAGAACCCATTGCCTGTTTGTTAGCACTATGGTCTCTAACAGTCTGTACCTTACTAGATTATTCTGACATCTGTCTGACCCAAGAAACCCGTTATGGGCTTTAGTGAACAATGCTGTACATTTTCAAACCAGCCCTGAGCTAAGGAGCACTATAGAAGCGTGAAACAATCTGTGCCTTTCAGCAGCCTCATCTCATTAATCTTCCAGCTCTACAGCCTTACTAAAGCGCACATACTTAGGACTGCTTGTTCATTACAGCTCTAATAACAGAGACATACATTAAAGCAGCCTGTCCAGGTGCAGGAAAACCAGTCTCTTTTAAAATACATTTACAAAGCAATAAATAAAAATGATCATAGTTTAGCTGCTTATTAAATTGTATTTGCTATTTTGAATTAAGCGCCGTCTTTGTATCCAGCCATTCACTTTATTCTCACTTACTGCCCACTTTTCTGTTCTTAGGAAAACAATGTATTCTTTACTCTGGGGAATAAAACTGTATGTAATTCTGAAGTTAAAACCAGCCCAGGTTCTCCGTAGATTAAACTATTAGCTAGGGCTTCAGAGAGCCTCCAGTCCAAGTTCTACCTTGGCCCCCATGCTGGCGTGATTTAAACCTAATGAGATAAACATATCTTCAAGTGAATCATTCTCAGGGGCCAATCCTACAGTATTTACTCATGCAGGTAACCCTCGAGGGCTGTTAATGAAAACTTTCCATCAAAACTGTTTTTCAGCGGAAACTGAATTTTCAACTAAATGACATTTTCTTGAAAGGTGTCTGATTTCCATGGAATATTTAGATGTGTAAAAACAGAACCCCAGAAAACTGATATATTACAGTTGAAAACCAAAATATTTCAATTCTGAATTGCGGCTATGGTGCCTCATGCCTATAATGTGAATGTATCATTCTCATCTCCCAGCTAGGCTCCCCAGCTGGACTATGTCGTGGTGTACTGCAGCTATGTGACTGCCATGACCCCTCACCCAGAGAGGATACCATGGTGTATAAGGGGAGATGTACTCTGACCAGGAAGCCTGGCCTAGAGAGGAGAATGGAGGCAAGCCAAGCATTTGGGTGGGTGCAGAACAGCCCCAAAAGTTCAAGTCAGGCCCTATTGTGGCATATGTCTTTCTAGTTTATTAGCCTTAATGGGCAACCTTAAAAAAATTGGGGAGACACATTGAGGCCTGTCCTGCACAAGGGTGCTAGGGGATGTTAAGTAATTTCCCCCTTACTCACTTGAGCTGGTGTGCTATATCCCTGCTTCCTACTTGCTGGGGTCGCAGATCCACAAAGTCATTTCATTCCACGCTCATTCAGATAGGCACGAAAGAATAGCAGTGGGGGGTAACTTTACTCCATCCTCTCTAATGCTCCCAAGGACATGAACCAGCACACTGGGGAGTATATGGTGTGACAGATAAAGACCTGGAGCAGTTTATGCCCTCCAGGAGCCGTGAGGAGACCAGAAGGTAGACTGTGACCCAAGGAGAGTCAAATCTCCCTCATAGGCTACAGCAGTGCAACAACATGGTACCCATCCTCCAGGCTAGATTGCAAACTAACAATCTCCACTTTGGTGATTTAGTTCCGACAACAGCTAAAGTAAACCACTTTGACTGTGAGTCTGAAAATGTCATGTAGTCAGGAAATATTAGAAATATCTGGGAAAAGTCTGATCTTAGCCAGCCTGGAATACCATAAGAAAAATGTGAGAACATTCTCCCCACATTCCTGGCAGTGCTTCTTACAAAGCATCACAAAGTTTATTAAAGGTAACTCCAGTTCTCTAAACTCAGGAGTGGCTTGAATTCAGTTTGGCTTAGGCCAGGTCTACACTACAGACCTATGCTGGTATAAGTACATCGCTCAGGGTTGTGAAAAATCCACATCCCGGAGTGATGTAGTTATACTGACCTAACCTCCTGTGTAGACAGCATGATGTCAGTGGGACAGATTCTCCCACTAACATAGCTACCGCCTCTCGAGGAAGTGGATTAACTACGCTGATGGGAGAAGCTCTCCCGTCAGCGTGGGAGCGTCTTCACTAACAATAAAAAGACAATAAAATACTTACTCCCCATCTTGTGAAGCAATCACATTTTCCTTTTATTTTCTCTATGATAGCAAATTGCTACTAACAAAAACCAGTTGACCTCTTCACATTATTTTGAACCAGTTATGCTGAAAATAGGAAACAATGCTCCCAATAAAGAGGCTTGATAGAGTTAAATACTCTTGCTTGCACAGGCACAGCATGACCATTTGATTTGCATAGGAACTAGCCACTAGCTCCAAATTATTACATTATGCAGGTTGTGACTCCGTAGCTAATAAAGAGTTGAGTTTTGCACTTAAAACCTTTTTGTTGAGTCTAGGCCTCAGACCAGATTTATGCAAACACTCAGCTTTAGGCACGTGAGCCATCCTATTGACTTTCAGTGGAATTACTCCCATGTGTAAAGTTAAGCACATGCACAGTTCTTTGGAGGACTAGAATCCTAGTGTTTCTGCCCAAAACAGACAGCATTTGTTCTGTGTGCTTGTTTGTAATTACAGAAATTATTTGAATAATTTTCGATGTAAAATAAACTACTCAATGATTTTTCTGGGAATTGACAAGTAAACCTGTTAATTTCCTCATGAATGACAATTAAAACCTGGCTTTTTAAGAATTTTTCTGGGAGTGTCTCACTTTTTTCCATACTCCTCTGGATAACAAAGGGCTTCTTACTAACCCTACTAACAGTCAAGCTAAGTGAAGAGAGGCCTAACACCCAACTCAATAGCATTGCTCTTTTGCCCGTTCGACCCTCTCAGTAAGCTATATTTGAAGAAATGATATATACAATTAAACAAAGATATTAATGTTCTTGTATCTAATTATTATGATTATAGTCAGGACCAGAACAATAATTCAGGTCATTGTAAAATAGTATCCTTGTGACATCACAGAGAACTGGAGAGGAATGGTGGTGATTGGGCTTAATTTGTGTGCTGCATTTTTATTGGCTGGCATAAGTCAATGATGTGAGAGGACTGTACATGTGTCATGTACTTGATTATTTATATACACATGTAATGCAATGCCCCTGCAAGACAGTTGTTGTCTACAGGAACGTGGGAACTCTGGATCTAAAAGCATGGTCATCTACTTCTTGAGCTAAAAGACTCCTCTCCACTACCTCAAAGGCTGTAGCAGAGTCATAATCCTCTTTGTGGTCCAGCCATTAGCTGAGGACAAACAGCCACACTGTGTAAGTGTAGGGTATACACACAATCAGAAAGAGCAATGGGAGTGACTGATTCTCAGAAGTTGACTGGGGACTTGTGAATCTGGGGTCAAACATTCCCTGGCTCCCCATGGATCACAGTGCCCTAAAAAACTCCTTAATTCATCTGATCGCATTGCCTGCCAGAGCTTAGGACCTGCACAAGGTGTTCTGCTGTCTGCCTACCTTACTACTTATGCAGGCTGCAAACACTTTAAAGTTAGACTATGGAAATACCCAGAGCAAAACTTCTTTAAGTTGTTGTTAAAGCTGACAGAGCCTGTACAACAAGCAACAGATAAACACAAAACAAGGAAGAAGAAAAAGATTTTGAAATATTAAAAGGAAAAATAAAAGGAAGAATATAAACTCTAAAGCAGCCATTCCAAAAAAGGAGACTAGACATGGCTGGGAGGGAGATCACAGTCTATAACCATTCTTTCAAAAAAGTATTTACAAATATTCAAATACACTAAAAATATAGTGAATTTTTTTAATTGATGATATTTTCCATTGCTGAGAAATTATTTTTCAAAGTTTTTTTTTAAATGCCTGCAATTATTGGTGTCTGAAGCTATTATTTACCAACTCTTAAAGGGCCAAATTAATGCTACACGCACCTAATTTATATTTTCCATAGTTATTTCTATCCATAATTGTACAGTGTAATAGTTTTGGGGGAGTAGAAGGAAACTGCAGAGTTAAGATTGAAATTTCATGTTTAGTTCTGCCCCCTTATGCCCATGTCTTAAATATAGTATTTCCCTATGGCCAGGAGCCTGTGCAGGCAGCTGCTCTGTACCCACTGTAATGAGCCCTCCAGTCCCATCCAGAAAGGGAGGACAGCATCACAGAACCACGTGTCACAATCTTGATACACGCCTCAGAGACTGTGCTGATCTCACCACTGACTTCATAATGCTTCGCTTTGCGCTGATAGATGACATGATGCAGAGCTAAAAGAGGAAACTGACATGCTTCAATGTATGGCATCTTTTCATGCCTCCCTAAATGATTTGTCAAACGATACAACTGATAATATCATGCAAACTGGTATTTCTTACAATCATACATACAGACTTTGGACTTGGTCTGATACTTGAGACATTGTGGCTTCTTGAAAACAAGCCAGGCTGCAAGAGAAAAAAATTCAGGAGGTATTTTAAATTGCTGAATGTACAGGGCATCCAGCATCACGAAACTAACACTCAATAGCAGGACAAATCTCTATAGCATCTAATTTGCTTGTTAACACTCTGATGAGCCTCTGTATTTCACATCCAGATCATACAGCTTTGAATCTAGACAGCAGGGAAACCATAGTTTCTCTCAGGCTTCCCCAAAAAGATGTGATCAAATAGCTGGCCTGCCAGCTCAATAGGTGCCATATCCTCACAGAGTGGTCTAGCAAAGACCCCAAGAGGGAGGACTGAGTCAGGAGTATTGATGAAACTGCATATTTATTCCCCTCCTGAAGTGAGTATTTCTTTGCAGTGGTTTCCCTGAGGCTCTTCCCTCTCACTCTTCTTACACTGCACTAAGCCCAGGTGCCCTTAGAGACAAAGAGCTGGTTTTTGCCCCCTTACTGTGACCTGGACATCACAGGGCTAGATCCTTTGTAGTAGACAGCG